ATTGGCGCCTATCCGACACAGTCTGGGTTGTTTTCAAAATTCACGCACTTTTATTTATTGTATGTATGTACATAAATTCCTACATATATGATACATATGGCCACAAAACACGCGATCGTGTTTCTCTTTGGCATACGCCTTGTGTAGGCGCCTAGAGATAGGCTTTGCTGTATTGTGTGGTTTTGCTGTTTTCTGTTGCTCTTTGCTTAGAATAGCATCGGATTTGTGAGTGTGCGTTAAAGTATGCTGCTTAATGCCTTCCCAACAAGCAAAATAAACTTAAAGAAAGTTTTTTTTTAAGTTTTCAATTATAAACATTAAGATTACAAAACGTTGATTTTTTGTTTATAAAACGCTTGAAAGTAAGCGTAATATAATCGAAAAGGAACATTGGTTATAAGCGTAGAAATATAAACTTGTAATAAATGTTCAAAAGAAAGCTTTTTATAAGCGTAAAAGTGTAAACTTATAATAAAGGTTCAAAAAAAGTTTTTTATAAGCGTATGAATATAAACTTACTAAAAATTTTCAAAAGAAAGCTTTTTCTAAACTTTTTTATAACCCTTTATTTAAAGATATTTCATTAAAAACTCATACATAGATTGCTTAACATCTAGAAACTAAACGAAATGCGAATTTTCGGCGGACTCATCTACAGTCGCGAAAATATAAATAGGGAATAGACATTTTAGCATACAAATTCACAATAACACATACAAATTAAGCATAAAAAAAGTTAATTATTACATCTTGTTGCGTGCTTTCAATTACTTGCGGTTATTGGCAAATTGGAAAAGCGACATCGATGCAGCTATATATTCCGCTTCATCGCCGCCATTCTCATTGATGAACTTTTCTGAAAAAAATTTAATACATTTTTAATTGAATGTTAAACTAAGAAAGAATAAGGGGAAGTCATCATTTGAAGACTCGAATGCTCCACCGATTAGCGCAGCGGGTCCTGGATTGGACTTTTTTTACCACATCGGTTTTATTTAATTTTTTCTTTTAATAATATATTTTAAAAAACGTAAACACGTCACTTACGATTGAAAAAATTTTATATTTACTACTTCATGTCGTTGGCATTTACATTTCATTTATAAGTTTAAGTTATTTATAAACATTCGCTCTCAAAACTTATTAAAGGTTTGTTTGAAAAAACTTTTAATAAGCTTAATATTAAAAATGCTTATTTAACGCTTATTATAGCAAACTTAATTTAAGTTATTTTTAAAAACGTTTACTGAAATGCTTGTTGGGATATTGTATATGGCAAATACATACATATAATGTATGTTTGTATGTTGGCGGTACTTTGACATAGAGATGCTGCGTTTTCACCCAAACCTTTTTCATGGATGTCAATCATACTCTTTCGTTGTCTTGGGTAATATACTATATATGTACAAATACATATGTATGTATGTATTTGGCATACAGAGGCGCTTTGAGTGGCTGATTACAAAATTGAAATCATTTTTCAAAAATTCAAAATGGCGGATCCAATAATGATCCATCCGCCATATGGGATACGCCATTTTGATTATTTGAAAACTGATTTCAATTTTGTAATCTGCCACTCAAAGAACCTTTGGATATTAAGTTTCATTAAAAACTGACAATTTAAAAAATAAATCCAGCCGCGATATTGTATCCGGCATTTTGAATTTTAAGGAACTGCAATAAAGTTTATAAAATCACAAGGCAATATTCTATTGACCGATTCAGCGTAGGGGTGGTTTTTCGCCATAGAAACCATAAATGACCTGATCTAGAAAAAAGGCTAAATGCAGGTACTTTGTGTTTGTCTCTACTTTCCGAAAATGTTTGATTTTTTTCATGGGGTTTAAAGAAAGTTCAATTTTTTCGGACGGTGTAAATCTTGTAGAAAGTGGCACAGAGAAATAAATCTACTAAAATTGTTTAAATAGTTTTTTTTTTTTTAATTTACTTCTTGAGTTAAAAATCCTTTTTAGGCCAAATTTAATTTCCAATCCGTTATTTCAGAAAATTATGCATGGGTGGGTAGTATTGGAAATGGGCGAAAGTAAACCATAACCACGCTCACATATAAATTTCTGTACATATTTCGGTATGTTGGCTTAAGCAACACATAAGTAGACCTTTTGGTCCCTAGCGAACCAGGCTCCACCAGAACCTTAGTTTGTCTTGTAGCAAACGTCATTTAGAATGGCACCGCTTTTAGCGAACCTACTACGTAAGGAGCCTTTGCAGTCCCACTTTGGAGATATCCTTCAGTTTGTCAAACTGAGTAGCTTGTAGTTATGAATTTCATTCGCGTTCTTGTAACTACTTGTCTTTGATAAACGCCATCTTCTTCTTCTTCTTCTAATTTGGCGCTGTAACGGCCCAAGCGATTTTGGCCGAGTTCAATCAAGGTGGCACCTTTTAAAATTTACACGGATTTAACTTTTTTGCTTATGATTTTACCTTTTAATTCTATTTTTTTTTTTGTAATAAAATCAAAATTAGTCTCATTACCCCCAGAAGTACCTTCGTGTTTCGTGATACAATTTCATATATGTATGTATATATATCACTTACCAAAGTATACTACAAATTTTTAAAGGAACCAGAAAATAAGTATATATGTATATTTATCTTTTACACAGCTGTTTTTAATAGGGTTTTATATTTTAAAATTTGTTAGAAATTGTAATTTTTTACATGTTTTTACTTTTTGCACTTATAAACAGAGGATAAGCTATGTATATGTACATACATACATACACGTGCATGCACGTACGTTGTGCACCTAATATACGATTTCGCACGAATTTAGACTTCTTTACTTGTGTTGTAATCTTATTTATTTCAAAGTCATTAACAATTTTCCTTGTAATATGCTTGTATGTATATACATATGTAAGTATTTACATAAAGCATTTTATTTCTAGGCTTTCTTTCAAGTTTGACCATAGTAATTTTGTATAAAGAAAACGCTGCAACATTTTTCAGTCACATTTTTAATTTCATACACAGCGGGAGGCCTGACTACCTATTTTGTTTCTGTCAAGATTTTTTGACATCCTTAGCCGATTAAAACGCTTACTTATTGTACATACAAATGTAACAGGCTAACCTAATATTCACGCACGCCGCCAATTTATTGTCAAAAATTTCTCATGCACATGCAACTTGTATGAGATCAACCGAAATTGAACGGCGTGCGTATGAAGCTAACTCAATTTCCAATTTTTGTTCTGCGTGACATTTTGATTTGACGTTTCGCTCAATGAAATCAAATGCAAACGCATGCAAGTCAATTTCGGGTGACGCAAAAAAATAAATTCGACGGCATGCGTACCAAAACGCAAGCCGCGAATATTAGGTTAGCCTGTAAGTATGTATGTACATTTTCATAAATCCATCGGTTTGTGTATGTATGTGTGTACAAATACATATGTATGTATGTATCTACAATGTACATTCATGCATGCATTGCATTAAAATATTTTTAATTTTTAACTATAACGTAAATGCTGAAATCTGAAAATATTTTTACTTAATTTTAAGCTCTCCAGTTGGTTTCATACATCGACATTAATCTTCCAAAGCATTTTCCTTGTTTATTTTTAAAGCCTAGTCGTTTTTTTAACGATTAAAATGTAATTCTTTCCACATCGCTGGCCTGGAGTGCAAAGTTGCTTTTAATTTTACAGGAGAGAAAAAAATCTTCTTATAGCCATTTCCTTCAAGTATTAGATACGAATACCACATTTTGCGTGTTTAAAGCAAAGCAAAACTTCGTACGAATAAGGATTCCATCTTTTATAAAAAATATCGATATTGTTATCGATAATTTATCGATTTTGTTATCGATAATTTATCGATTTTGTTATCGACATTTTTATCAATTTTCTAAGCGATTTTTGTGATCGATTTTGCTGTCGATTATTTATCGATTTTATTAGCGATATTTTTATCGATTTTGATATCGATATTTTTATCGCTTTTCTAATCGATTTTGCTACCAATATTATTATAGATTTTTCTATCGAAATTTTTACTGAATTTGTCTTCGTTTTTGTTATCGATATTTTTATCGGTTTTTTAGCGATATTTTATTGATTGTTTCTATCGATTTTGTTATCGATAGAGTATAAATATAAAAATGAAGATAAAGGAAAACAGAATAACATAAATGTAATTAGAACGAACGGGGGTAGAGGGGGATAGAAAAAAGACAAAAAATATAACCTTAATCAAAGCAGATGTACATATGTATTTACGTATGTATGTTGGTTATGAGACAAAATAGATATGTAACGTAAGTTTCACTTCTCCAGTGTGGTCCAGGCGCACTTACTTTTTTTGTATGTACATAGTTATCCTTTGATTGTGAACTTCAGAAAGCAGGATTTGAAATCTATAAGTCCTAAATCAAAAAAACTATGAGGTGTTCTTACGGGCAGTCCTGCGCCATCCAGACCCAGAAGATGCCTCCAATTTGAGAACAGGGGATTGCGACCTGAATGAGCTTTTGGATAAACATAGCCTTTAATATTTCGTTCAATATTTCGTTTAAAATGCCAGATTTCCTGCAAATACATTAGAATTTACGAAAGGAACTTCACTACTAATTGCCTACTTTGCACTTTTCTACTACCATTTTCGAAACAAGGGATTGCATTCTTGCCCTTTCTCTGGCCTTCGTAAATGCAACCTTTTGTAAGCGAGTGTCAAACCGCAGCTGTCAATAATTATCTAACCTTGTATTATTTAATCATGATCGTGATATGTATACACATTTTGTTTTACTGTTGTTCTACTAATTTCAATCCAGTGTGACATCTGCTAATTCTTCTTCTAAAATACCAAAAGGGTAAACGGCTTTAACGGTATGCTGCTTTCGCTAAATGATAAAATGTTTGAAAATCTGGCAATATACCAATTTATTTAGTAGAGTTTCTAACCATAACATCAGAGCACCAGCAGCGCCATCTACAAAAATATTCTTCATTCTTCATCTTTTGTGCTGTCAGTTATCAGTCAATTGTGAACAATCAGCAGCGATTTTGGTAGGCAGCGAAATTTTTCGCAACAATCTTGGCCACCATAAAATTTTGAATAAATTTCGATTGTATAAAACTACGAGTATTTATTACAAGTTTAAAAAATGATGAACGCTGTGACACGTGTTTACCTACGCGCTGTCAGTCAGACAGTTTCCAACGTCATCAAGCCAGCCGCAGTAGCTACCACTCAGGGTAAGAGCCAGAGCAGTGTTTAAAAAAACTTAGTTTTACACTGTATTGCACAACCAAATTAATCTACCGGACAACTTCAAAGTGAAAGAATTCATGTGGTGTTAATTCGTTGCTGATATCGCAATATTTTTATCAATTAAAAACGATTTTGTGCATTACTTTGGCCCTCTTTATTATGTAATGTGTTTTGAGGTTATGCGCAAACGTCATTGCAAAAGTAGTATCATCAAAACAAGCTGGATTCACGATCCCACGACAGTCGGATCTACGCAAGCGGAACGACCTAGATTTATATCTGTCCAAGAACTCATTGGAATATTTCTATGCTAACACAATGATAACAACACATTTAGTTCATAGAACACTGCCTAAAGAACTTTTTTTCACTTGCAGCCCAACGCAATGCGCACACTGATTTGCGGGTGCCTGACTTCTCCCCTTACCGTCGCGAGTCTGTAAACACACCAAACCGTAAGGATGATTCCGCCGAGAGCCGCAAGGCATTCTCTTACATGCTTATTGGCGCTGGTGCTGTTGGCAGTGCATACGCAGCTAAGGGACTGGTAACCGCGTTCGTGAGCTCGATGAGCGCAACTGCTGATGTTTTGGCCATGGCTAAGATTGAAATCAAGCTTAGTGATATTCCAGAGGGCAAGTCGGTCACATTCAAATGGCGTGGCAAACCTTTGTTCATTCGTCATCGTACAGCCAGCGAAATTCAAACCGAGCGCTGGGTTGCAGTTTCCACATTGCGTGATCCTCAAGCCGATGATGTGAGTGGGCACACCATCGTAGTGCAACGCTAATATTACAATGGTAATCTTTTATTTTTTTAATTACAGCAACGTGTAACCAAGCCAGAATGGTTGGTCGTAATCGGTGTCTGTACGCATTTGGGTTGTGTACCAATTGCCAATGCTGGTGACTTCGGCGGTTATTACTGTCCGTGCCATGGTTCTCACTACGATGCCTCTGGACGTATTCGCAAAGGACCAGCTCCATTGAATTTAGAAGTACCGGCTCATATATTCCCTGATGATGGCACACTGGTCGTTGGTTAAGTACGAAGTAGTTCAGTTAAACAAAGAAAACGAAGTGAAAGGTGTAAACATAATTTATAACTCAATAAAAAAGTTGGGGCGAAATGTGATTCGTTTACCCGTATGCATTGGTGTATATGGCGCAAGTTGCACTGATCTTTAAAAAAAAACTTAAATTGATTGCTTTCTTTTTTACATTTAATTGACTTGTTAAATTCGGTGGTATAAGTTCTCAGAATAAAAACTTTCACGGCCGTTATGCCTAGGGCTGCCAGACGTCCCGGTTTTCCCGGACATGTCCCGGTTTTTGACTATTTGTCCCGGTGTCCCGGTCCAACCTTAAAATATCCCGGTTTTCGATTTGATTGCACAAATTTTGCATAAAAATGACTACACTGAGAGATAAAACGCGTTGTAATATTAAGAAAAATTTTATGAATTTACCGGGGGAAATAACGCATAGTAAACTTTTTTTTATTTGATTATCATTTTAAAATTTTCGTATTTAAAAACAATACTTTCATACCACGCACACGTGGTGTGGAATCAAACTGAACATATGAATGCACATTTACATGTCTGGCTGTAGCTGAGTGCACGAAGATGCTTGCCACAATTTGCTAATTTCCAGAGCGTCAGGGTTCAAATCCCATTACAGGCAGCATGGAATTTAATTATTTTTTAACTTAATTATGAAAAAGCATGCGTTAAGTGCAAAGCGCTTCATTTTGATGTTGGCGTAATTATTACGAGTTGGGTTGGTGCTGTTTCATATGCGATTTTTTTTTATTTTAGCACGTTTTGCACAAGCATTAGTAACTGATTAATATAAGTATGTACCTAAATACGTTAAAATGACATGCACAGAGTTTTACAATTATATTAAGCAAAAGCCAGAATTTTTGAAACAAGTTCACAGCAACGAAACAAATTACTAATATTTTAATGTTACCTTGTATTTAATTTTTTTTTTCTTCCGTGAGACCTACATTACTTATAAGTACCGTGCCGTACAAAACCATTCGCTCGGAGACTCTTTGATCTGATCACAATTTCTAATCAGATCTTTTAGAAACATGTAACTTTAGAGCCAATTAGTAAAGTGCAAGTCTCAAGTTACCAGAAAATTTCGTTGATTTTTTTGCAATTATTTATTTTTTGCTGACAGTGTCTTCCACATACAAAAAAATTTCGAACATAGTTTGTATGGAATAAACTCTCAGTAAAAACAATACCAAAAATCAACTAAATTTTTATGGGCTGCAAAACTTCATTTTCAAAATTTTTATAAAAAAGTCTGAATTGAAAGTTGCGAATTTGTATGCAAATTTATTGCATTTTCCCGAGTTTTGCACAAAGTTTAGAAATTTTATTTTTATGTTTTCTGATGTATTTAGTATAAACTGTATTTTTATAAGGAACAAAAAAGGTACATGCATTGTGAAAAATTCTCTGTGCTTTAGTTGTGATAAATTGTTTTGTTTTGCTGATGTACGTTGTAATGATCCCATAATCTCATGTTTTTATGTTTTTGTTTTTGTTTGTCAAAATAAAATTTTACTATATCCTTTCGTACGTAATTTTAGTCGAAACGAAAGGGAAGGGAGCGAGAGGCCTCTCCCCCCCTTAAGTGTCCCGGTTTGGCAACAGAGATCTCTGGCAGCCCTAGTTATGCCGCTAGGAAGGCACAAATTCAGTTCCTGCTCTGAAGAATAAATGGCTGAATTTCTTTATTCATTCTGAACGTTTGGAATAAACTTTTTTGTTTACTTATTCTTTAGAACGTTCCTGATGATATGTTAACGTATATTTCAAACACATTCTGTTTATTCCGGCTGTGAAATGGGATTATCCGGAATGTATAAAGAAACGCAGCCAATATATTTTGTAGCGGTCGCCGGCCATGAGAAGGATTAGCATAAAACCATATGCAGTTCTGTGGAGATGGTAAGCCAAAGACCATCCACTCTATAATCTGGGGCATAAGCTCGGCCAAACACTTAGCAAAAATATGAGTGGCAAAAGTAATTATTTTTCCTAATCCCCTCTTCTATTGATTAATCGGATTCAGCAATTTAAATTTTTTTCATGTCTGGGAACGAAAACTGTTTATTGTGAATATTGTTTGAAATTAAATGTCAAAAATAATGTCAAATAGCATCATGGTCAAATAGATGAATTGACAAATCAGTCTGTGAAATTTCAAGATGGATTGGAGTTTTATAAAACCAATCCTATCTAATCGATATGGAACTTTAAATAAACCTGAAATAGTTAATATAATTAAAGCAATAACAAGATGGTAAGTAATTCGTTATAAAGAAAAACAATTTGTCTACTTTTGGCAGTGTAAGAATGCGCAAAACTAAAATTTGCCTTCCGATTACAAATCAAAGATGGCGGCCGACGGCTGCCACTGCCACGAAAAGTTTTATTCATTCGGAAATCGTTTTCCCTTGTTTTATTTTCAGTGAAAACGATTTTTTCGATGATGAAAGCAATTATGCGCAATTTTATATGGCTTTTGCATCTCTAGCTGTCGAAAAATTGAGCCAATGCAAGCTGGGTAAGTCTCGGAAACGATTTTTCACCAAAAAAAATATGCATACACATTTTAAATCCCCTTTTCAAGACATGTTTGATTTTTAAGATCGGATGAGAAATAGTTAACTATTAATAGATAAGTGCATGAAGTACGAACATAACGGTTGTTTTTAAATAAAATAAAAATGGAGCGTTCAGGAACTATGAGAAACCTACATTTATGTTGTATTCGATCCTACCTATACTACAACCTTGTTTCGGGTTAATTTCGTGATTTTTTTTTCTTTAGCTCATGTAATAGAACAAATGAAAAAACGCGGTATTAAATTCTATTTAAATTTAGATATTGGGAGATGCCTTTTAGCAATACAAAGCGTTCTGTATCCACTACACTGTATCCACTGTATACGACGTGTATCCACGCCGCGATTGTTAAAAACTGCAATTTCATCAGCATATTTATTTTTCTAATTCTCTTTTACTCGTTCTTTCTAAACAAAAACAGTGTGCCAAACGCAAGTGCCGCAAATACAGGAAGCCTGCGCTATACTTATACGCTTCATACTACATAAATTAAGTAAAGTGAGTATGTTATATTTTTATGATTTTTCGTAAGTAATAACATCCAGCAGTAAGAATGAATAACAAAGAAATTAATAGGAAAAAAATATTTGAATATGGTTTATAATTCCCCAGAAAATAATTTTGGTAGGCATTCTCAAGTGAAGTAATTTTCTGTTTAAAAATTTACGCGAAGGTATGTATGTATATCTTATTTAGCCCTAAAAATTAATTTAAATATGTATTTTAAGTTGCAATAAAACATGTTTGATATGTACACTAAATGAATACATAATATGTAGCTTAAGTACTTAAGTAAGATATGTATGAATGAAAGAAGCAGCTCTGGAAGAACTCTTCCAAGGAGTCTTCTGATATACATATAAAAGCCCTTCTGGAAGTCCTATGGGTGGCGAAAGCAGAAATTTCGTTAAAATGAAATTTGGTTAAAATGAAACTTATAATTTTAGAAAATATTTTTGCTAGACTAAGACTTAACAGGCTCATTGATATGAAAAAAAGAACCTATGAACTCATGGTACAATAATTACCAGTAATTACCTGTATAGTAATTATTGTACCATGCTATGAACTTAAAGAATTATGAGCATTTTAATGTGTTCGCCCTGTGTCAGCAAATATAAGTATATATATTTGAAAAAAGAGCAGCAAATGTTTCATGTTTTTGATTTACTGGTCGCGATTGTACCATAAAAAATCACAATATTTCGGTTTGTGTATTGCTCTAAAACATTTTTTCCAGGTCAATTTTGAGAGAAATAATTCATTTTATTAATATGTGAAATTACGTTCGCCAATAATCAACTTAAGCCGTGTTTGCATTATTCAACTTTGCGTTCAACAATTGCGTTCAACTCAACGCAGGGTTGCACGAAAAAAAAAGTTGAATGGCTAAATGTTGGCTGGCGACCAACTTTGTTGAAAGCGATTAGTTGAAAGGCCATTCAACCAAAAGTTGAATGCAAAGTTGAACAATGCAAACACCTTTTTATGGCGAATATTTTGATATTTTTAGCCATTCAACTTTTTTTTCGTGCAACCCTGCGCCGAGTTGAACGCAAATGTTGAACGCAAAGTTGAACAATGCAAACACACTTTTAGCGCCTACTTTTGGGATAAAACGTGTTTTTATATATACATAATTAAAATAGTGTTTATCTTGAAATAAATGTTGAACTCTGCATCTAATTTTCTTATAACTACGGTCAGTTATATTTACATATGTACACAATAATTGCACATACATGTATAACCTAAAATTGTGATTGTGAAGAATTATGATTCATTTTACACTAAAAAATCTAAGATCTTATGGTACTAATGTATTTTTCTTAATAAATTAAACAAAATGAAAATATACCAATAAACAAAAAACATATATCAACTTACATACATACAGAAAATTATTTTTCCTTGAAATAGATAACCAAGAAACCCAGCTGTACCCAATCACTAAAAGACGAAATAAAATGGCTGCTGCCAGCTTTAAAAAGTCTTTGCGAGGGAAAATCTACTTCAAACCCACCAACAAAAACTTACACACACCCGGCTTCTGGGACCGGTACTGGCACAATACCGAACTCGTCGCTTCTACAATTCGATTACAATGTTGTAGCAGCCGTTTTAAAGAGCGCAAAATACCCTGAACCCAGCAAAAGTATCGTGACTGGAAGTGACAAAGAATCGCCAAAATCCGAGATTAAGCGTTCACGTTCCGATTTATCGTCAGTAATATTCCAACAGCTGAAAGCACCGTTAGAAGCTGGTAAAATTACATGGTCACCATTAAGTGAGGAACTTACAGATTGTTCAGTATGTTGTCAAATGTTGTTTAATTTATAAAGATCGTTTATTGGGCCGTATGAATAAAAACTAAGCAATTTGATCTGAAATTTTAAGAAAAAGCAATTGCTTATTTTTATTCATACGGCCCATTGTTTTTTCTTTCGCAGGACATATTCTCAACTGCAAATATTGCATATTTGCAATCTCTAAATGGCGCCGATGTCATACTCGATGTATGTATTTCGTTGCCTATTTTATCACGTTA